AGGGAAAGATGAGCTTTGCTACATGGAAGCCAAACTGTGCATAAGTGCAAAGAATTGCTATTATGCAGCTACATGAATGCTAATTAGGCATGTAATGATGCAACAGGGTTTAGCCCTTGTAAATAAAGGGCATGTCTAAGAAATACTGCAAATTGTATGTTTATGTTATTTAGTTATTAAAAGTGACTAACAAGTATAAGGGCAACCACTGTACTATTCACACATAATAGAATCCGAATCCTACTCAGATCTAGGATTTTGAAAAGGGGGGTGCAGATAATGTGGTGTATCACCACATAACTCAACACATTTTCTCTAGTGAAAGAGCTACTACAAGCTTTACTAATATGCTCAGGGTCTAGCACTATATTATTCTATTTATGATAAAATCAAAAACAAATATAACTTTACTGGAATGTGCATTAATTAGCTAGATTATATGTACAATTTAAGAAAACACAAAAAAACTGGCATAAAATAGTCAAAAGCTATTCTTTCATTGGCCTTGTAGTTATTACTGTTAAATGTACATCCCTCATTCAGATTCACAAAACAAAACCTAGACTTCTTGAGCTTTTTTGACAGTCTCTCCTATACTTCTCTCAGTCATTTTATTAACTCATTTTAATATTAACTCATTAACCTGAGTTAATATTATCACACCTGAGTTAAGGCTTTAGCTAGAGCTAAAAACTGTCTGCAGCATTGTGAAATAGAAGCAAGACATTACCAGAAATGGCTAACAAACAAAAGTGCAGAAAAAAGGATTAGTTTGCAAAGGGGAGCATCAAGACCATTACAAAGGAGAGAGGGTCATTAACACCTGTGGAGTAAAGAAAGATTAGCAGGGATCAAGTAGACGAAAATGAGGCGTGAAGTCAATTGATTGTATCAGAACTGCTTGAATAGAAATGCTGCTGCCTTTCCCAGGCAGTTTGTTTTAAAGTTTGGGTGAAGCTGAGGGAAGGCATCACTCCAGGGGAATAGTGGAAAGGAAGTAGGAAGACTGTAGGCTCAATTTGCGTGGGCTAAATGTTTGTCTTACCAATAAAGATACCATTGGAGTCTTTCAAGCGGTGAATAGTCTAGAGAATTTGTTTCCGTTCTTTTTAGCTTATAACTGGGAATGACAGGCAATACAACCCACATAATATTTTTTTTCTTGTTAATGTAAATAAAAGTGCAGCATTTAATCAGCTGTGGCACGTAGAGAAACATTACAGTGGCTTTTTAATAAGCTTTATGTAGCTTTGGTTACTTATGTCTTTACAACAGGCTGTCCAGAATGCAAGCTAGGAGAAAACAGGTTCTTCTCAAAGCCCGGAGCTCCCATTTACCAGTGCACGGGATGTTGTTTCTCAAGGGCTTATCCTACTCCCATGAGATCAAAGAAGACCATGCTGGTTCCAAAGAACATTACATCGGAGGCAACATGCTGTGTAGCAAAAGCCTTTACAAAGGTGAGAATGTGAATGAGATCTGTTTAAGCTTGTTTCAGGATGCGCCATTAAACTAAAACCTAAGTCAGTGACTAGAAGAGAATGTTTTCTTGCTGTAGGGCATGTAACCACCATTTGATGACTAAATCCCAGAAATTTATGTTCTTAGTACCTAGTTTTTAGTCTAAGAATAATTTTTTTAAAAGGATAGGGTTTGAGAGCCTGTTCTTTAGCTGATGTTAGTAAATGGGTATAGTACCACTGACTTCAAGAGTATGTTTTGGCAATTCTCCTTGAAATGCAATCTCTCCTTAAATATCACACAGTGTGTGTTTGGCATCTAATTACCGTGATTTTCCTCGCTTCTTCCTGCACAGGCAGGAATCCTTCTTCAAGTGAGACTGGACAGGACTAGACATAATATAGTAAGGACCGGAAAAAAATAACAATACAGTATGTCCAGTGAAGCTTGTTTTATTTCTACCTCTGTTCACTTGTAACCTGCTGCCACGTATACAGGCTTCAATCCACTCAGTCTGTGGTGACTGATCAGTGAATATATAGTGTAACTCCACATCTACTGTGCACAGCATAGCTGATTTCAAGTGGGCAAGTTTGAGGTGCAGGTGTTGGCTTCGGTCTATGGCAACACATTCAATAACTACAGACCCTCTTGCAGGGATGCACGAGAGTCATAGTTTTGATCCAGGTTAAGGGGCAGGAGGAGAGCTATGGAAGAGCCAAAGAACTCTGTGCACTGCCTGTCTGTCTCTCCCAATAGGTCTCTGCACAAAGGACATTCTCCTCCATGTGACTTCTTTGTGACACCGCTGAGAAATACTAGTGTTAGATTTGTCTAGGCCTATGTTAGGAGACAGCAGGGCATATCTGCTGAGCCATGGACTTTAGTTTCCTGTTGCTTGTTTCAGTGAGATTTAATTTAATTTAGTGGGATTTCTTCTGCTTTACTCTTGTGCACATATGTGGGAAATCAGTTTTCTGGGTTACTATATGAAAAATGCATGGAGCTATCCAGGTTATGGTTTCCCTCACTTAGCTAATATACTCTGGGCAAGATTAAAAAAAAAAAAAGGCCAATAATTTAAAATGTCTTCTTTTTGCGCATGTACCTAGAGATACCTGAGAGAGGCCTGATTTTTTTCAATACTTTCTGAAAATCAGACCATTTAATACATCTCAGGTTAGGCACAGGAGAGTTGGGTACTCAAAGTCTGTAGTCCATTGTCAATAATCTTGCCTTTGTGGCCCTGCTTTGTGGAAAGCGAATATTATTCAATGAAGGGTTCAGGTGCCAATTTGGTATCTCTCACTATAAGATTGAGGATGTAAAGGTTACAAAAACACATTGCATAAATAATTTTGTTTAATCAATGCAGTTAACTGTAATTTTGTGCATTTTTTTTAAAAGATTACCCTTAAGGACAACGTGAAGATAGAGAACCATACAGAGTGTCACTGCAGCACCTGCTACTACCATAAATCTTAATACCTGTCCTATTGCTACTGACCAGGAATGACAGCGAAGGGAGTTTTGTTCTTTTTTGTCTTTGATAGCATTGTTGTGTAAAATCTGTGTTTTTCTGATGAAGGCACTTATTGCGCCATGAAACAAGATGCATGGCTGTATTCTTTTCTTTTTACGTCATCATGCATTTAACCAAGTGTAATGATATCCATTAGGAATGAAAATATAGCATCTGCATGACAACAGAAGTCTTGATCTATTTTTTAAATAAAGTGTGAATTTAAATATGATGATTTAGTAATTTTAAACAAAAGTTTTTGCAGAGATTAATTTCTAAGATTGTTGCAGGGAGGGGGTCCAACACATTCCATTGCTTTTGCTTTGCTATGTTAGGACAGAATATAGTTAGTTCTCATATTTCTCCCTTTTTCTGTCGCAGAATCTGTTGTGGGCATCAGTTCATAACTATTTGCATAGTACTTTATTACTCTGAGTCACCCATTACTCCTGTTTGAACTAGTTCTTTTCACATGTGTTTTCTTGGTTGCAAGATAAGATGCTCCTAAATTAAAAGTCAACTATACTTTTGAGGAAATGGACCCTTCAGGGAAGGAATGATGCAGGCAGACTGGCTACAGAAAGGGGTGTCAGAATTTCCTGTGCAACATGGAAGGGGCTCTATCAAAGCCCCAAATGCCATGGATCAGTCTCAAATGTGCATTTAGGACAGGAGTAGGGATTGGTCAAAGCAGATCACACACAGTTCATAGGACAGGGGTGGGCAATTATTTCAGGCGGAGGGCCACTTACCTAGTTTTGGGGAGATGTCAAGGGCCGCATGGGTAGCCCCACCCCTTGACAGTTGCCCCATCCCTAGTTGCCATATTGGAACTGGAAGTCCTGCCCCCAACCCCTGACCTTCGCCACCAGAAATCCCTCCCCTTGCTCTGGTAGTACTCCTTTTGGGAGGAAGGGTGCTGCAATCTTGAAACCAAAAAAAAATCTATAACTTATTTTAATGTTATTTAAAAATATTTTTGTACTGATTTATGCATTTATGAAGTGCATCTAGAGGTGACTACACAATAGCTCAAAATACAGTCCAACTGTATACTGTGTGTGGGCAGTAAGGGGGGGGGTACGTGGCAGGGTGTGGTTGGGGAGTGTGTGTGTGTGCATGGTGGGTGTGGGGTATGTATTTGGGGTGGGGGCTGTGGGAGGGGTGCAGGCAGACCCCACGCCAAGGCTCTGCACTCCTGCTGCCCCACCCTGGGTCCCTGCCAGTCCCAAGGCAGCTACTTGGGCTCTGTGACCCCCCGCCACTGCCGTTTCCCTGCATTCCCTCCTGCACGCTTCCCTGCTACTCCCCGCAACCCCCCAAAGATTGCCGTGACACTTCCTGCAGTCCCTGCTGCTCCCTGCAGTCCCCACACTGCTGCACCACTCCCTGCAGCTTTCTGTAGCCCCCACCACTTACCTTGGCTGCCACCACTGCCACCACTTCCCACGTTGTTCCCCATGACCCCTGCTGCTTTGCTCCTTGTGGCCCCTGCTCCTTAGGCCCCAAGGGGCTTGGCTGTGCTTCCACCTGCCTGGCTTCAGCCTTTTCTGTCTGAGACTCTTCAGACCCTCAGCTTCCTAGGTCTCAGCCCTGGTATCACCTCCTTGGGCTCTTGGCCTCTGGACCTGGTCTCTTGCAACAGCCCCTAGGGATCCTGACCCTGACTAGGTGGCTGTATGCTGAGTGCCTCTTAGGTGTCCCTGTGACCTCCATAGTGCCCCCTGATGCTCCAGTCTTAAACATAACAGAAATAAAAGCAAATGGCTTCCCACAAAAGCTCTCCCCCACTTTGGATCAACACCCCACTGCAAAGCTATACTTCCTCCTTCGCACTCGCACTCTCACTCATTGGATGTCCATGGACTTGTTTCCTGGGATCTCCTCTCCCTGTAGCATGCAGGACCAGACTGCCCTTTATGGTTCAGGCCCTGGGATTATATGCCTCAAAGCCCCACCCTTTCCTGTCATGGGCTCCCCATCCACACACAGGAGTTTCCCCTTTGCTTAAGGGCCAGTCTGTGCTACTCTGTTGCAGTCCTGAACAGCCAGCTTAGCCTGCTGCACTCTCTTAAAGTATCAGGAGCCCTTGGCTCCCTGTTACACCATGGACAGGGAACTATCAAAATTGAGAAGTCAGGCAGCCCATTTCACAGGCAGATTGTAGGGCTGGCGGCCATTTTTGTGGGTTTATCATGACAGGGCCCTCTGACACCTTTGATTGGCTGAGGGGCCCCTCACTGCTGATTGGTTGAAGTGCTGTCTGTCATGCAGCCCACCCCTCTTCACTGATTGGCTGAGAGGGTATGCAGCCCCACACCTCATCACTGATTGGCAGAGGGATGCATGATAGGCAGCCTCTCAGCCAATCAGTGGCAACAGGTAGGGGCAGCCATCATCTTGGCAGCTCTACTCCATACCAGTGGGCCTCCCTGCTGCTGGCTGTGAGGCCAGGCCATAGTGGCCATAAGGACCACTGGCCCCCACTGGGGAGCCAGAATTTTATTTTCAGTAAGTTTTTTTTTTCAAGGATTTTGCAGAGGTTGCTGGATTTTGTGGACAATGCCTGATTTTGCGATTTCTGTGAAAGCCATAAAATAGTGAATTGAGTAGGTCCCTAACTATGGAATACATCAGTTGTCCCTCTGCTGTGTGGCCTGTCCTCAGGTTGTGGGCCAAATAAAGTTTACCCCTCCCAAACCCCACACAGCCCAAATGCTTGAAGTGATGCCTACTCTGACACCTTAATACCATATAAAGGAGCAAAATGGTACTCTCAAGGCCCCATATGCAACTGGGAAAGGAGCATTGCAATGATGCAGGCACTATGGAGATGTCTGTAAGGTGCCCCTCCTAGAAACCCTCTGCAAGCCCTTCCTTAGAGGGAGTGCCAGGGTGGGGCTGGGAGAGCTGGAGAGCTGTGTGGGGAGGCAGAGACTGAACCAGTGCTGTGTTGGGCAGTGCAGCTCCAGGAGACTACAGTAATTTAGACAAGCCCCCAGCCTAAATTATAGTAGGACTCTGAAGTTACCTCAGTTGGAAGGGCCAAAAGTATTCTATGCTGTCTCTCTAAGAACTTCACTCTGGTGCATTATGTGGGGCAAAGTGACTTTCTTCACTAGTGAAGGGGGAGGAATCAGCTCTGATCCTGAGAGTATTATTGCTCAAAGTCTTGTCTGGAATATAGACTAGGAACTTGGTGTCCCTTCCCAGATGCCCCTTATACAATGGGACTATATTTCAAGACACTGGGCTAGTTATCCTATTATTATTATTATTATTATTATACGCTACATTTGAGAATGGATGAGGAGCTGTGAGTGGAAGAAACATCTGGAAAATGTATGTTGTGTGACTTAGCAAAATGGTAGCTAAGCCTACATTGAAAAACTTTCAACAGATTGAATAATCTTTCTTGCATAAAAATATTGTTGAAGACCAACATCATCTAAAAATACAGTAAACTATCTGACACATATATATTTAAAATTAATATAGAATTAAACAAAGAACTGTGCATGTTTCATGGCATAGTTTATAAACATTTTCCTTCCAGAAAGTAATTTTGCAACTAAAGAAAGAAAAATAGTTGACACACTTAAACTTACATACTGCTTTACGTGTTCAGAAAATAAATTAGAAAGTCCAGAAGCCTACTCTTTCAGTCTGAAACAAGCAAGCTCCTTAAAACCAGAAGCTTATATACTAGCTGGGCAAATAAGCTGAATGTGAGGCAGTTGATTTTATATGGGTCTTTTGACTGAGACCTTAAAAACAGAGGTCATATCTACTTTGTATAAACACTACAGTTTCCATGGTAACTTTTGCCCTGGGTTACTTATATTTCTTCTCTTTCTCCCATTGTGTTTGTTGTGCTAGATCTAGTTGGCTTACTATCTGGTACTACAGAACTACAAGAGACACCTATGACTTATGTGCAGTTCTTAACATGAAGCTCTTAACATTAACCTCCACAACCAGAAAGGCCACATTTCAGAAATACTGTATTGATGACAATCATGTGGAAATAGAGGCTATGTTAGCCACTGACAAGCCAACACTGCATTGGCTTAAGGACCTTGAGGAAAATCTGGGTCAGGATAGAGAACGGAGGTGAACTGGACTCTATTGACATGCCCTAGTGAAGACCTACAGAGCTACTCACTGGGTGTATGCTGTATACACAAATGTGGTTCCATCACCCATAAGCTGCCTTATTGAGAACCAAACCATCCTTATATTTTTGTTTAGCCCATATAAGCTTTTCAGAACTGTCACAGGGAGATGTCAAGGAAAGTTGAAGGTAGATCTTCTATTGAAAGGAAAAGGTCTTATTAGGGGCAATTAAGTAGGGCAAGATGGGGAGTATGGATTGCATTTTGTCCCCCTCTCATACAAGGTATCCCAGTTGGGAGGGTTCTTTGGCCCAAATGGGCTGCATTTATATTCAGTGATATGCTATTCTATGTAGGTTCACAGGCTTTGTAAGTTCCTTCATGGCTGACTCTCAATGAGATGAGAAACTATCTACCATGGGGAGAAGATAGGCAGATAGGTATGTAGCTGCTTCTGAAAAGATTCATCCTTTCAAAATACAGCCAAAGTATGTATTAGGGTGGAAAGGGAGCAGAGGAAGTTCAGTCTGAGGGCTTTTCAGCCCTCCTTGCGGGGTGGGGAGGGGGGGGGGCATGTATTGCAGCCCCCTGAGGTGGCAGGGGGCTCCATTTCACCCACCCCACCTTTCATCACCACCTGGGGAGCCCCAAGAATGAGCTCCCTCTGCTGCCTTTCCTTCCTCCTATTCTGAAAACAGCATGTGCTGGCAGAGTCTGGACAATACTATGGGAACCTGGCTGCAGGCTACCAGCTGCAGCAAGATTCCTCTCTCTCTTGGAACCAACAGTGAACTTCTGTTTGGTCCGGGGTAATGCTGTAAATCAGAATGCTTTGCAAAATCATTCTGAGTTACAGCTGGGAGCTGCACTTCTGTCTGCACCTAAGGGCTAGGTACAGACAGTCAAAAAGTCTGAGGCTGAATCAATGTAATCTTTGCAGGTTAGTCTAAACTGTACAGATTAAATTGAAACAGAAGTGAACAGACATTTACCTTTGATACAAGAAATGCAGCCACATACCTGCAGTGGCTCAGGCTAAAAGCTGGAGGGCATTAGAGCACAGCTCTC